TTAAATTGTGTTAATTTCACTGTGTAATTCTGTAAAGCGTATCTAAGTTCTGTTAACCACACTGTGTAAATTGTATAATTTTGTGTTGTATAGTAGTGTTGTATTTAAGTTAAGTATAAGTGTTAGAAATAGAAGCCCCGGAGTTGTTAAGTTGTAAAAGTAGATTTATGACTAACTCCACCAGCTGCCCTAAAATAACCATAGAGGAGCTGGCTTTGGACAAAGTTTTTATTATCATTATATTGTCTTTGTTTTTGTATTTTTGTTAAGCAAATTAGAGACAGTGATTTGGTATGGTTGAATTGTAATCAAAGAAGTTTGTAATTAGTTAAGTACAGCTAAGTTTAGGGTTTTCTACCCTGTAAAAGTATTGAGCAATTGCTAGTTTAAAAAAACCATTTGCTAATTGTTAGTTTTGATGAAAAAATCATTCCACTTAATAAAAATAATTTGTTTCACCATCATCCAGTAGTTTTCACTGGGTAGTCAGCTTTAACCTTTGAGGCTCCCATCACATCACCGAACCAAAGTGTAACATAGCTAATTTGGGATTTCAAATGTGTTATTTAACTCCCCTACCTGAATTTTTTTAATCACAAGAATTACATGGTGAATTAGGTTCAGTTCAATTACAGCCACATAATACATTCTGATATAATTACACTGTTTATATATGCACTAGCTCTATGCTCTATGTCTAGACGTAAAAAAATAAATCTAACATTTATGCTAAGGGTCAGATTTCTTTATATCTACTTCTAGATTACTTTCAATAAAGTGTATTATATAAGACAGAGACCGAACACAAGAGACACTTTCAACTTCATCCACAGAATTCAGGGATGATACATATTACAATTTGAAGCAATGAAGATTTACCTCTACCAATTTGATTTTGTCTTGTGAAAGATTCATTATTTACTGTCTACTCTTAATTACTTATTTGAAAGCAGGCAGCACCAGAATATTCTTCTCCTCAGATATATGACAATTGGCATGGCCTTATAGGACTCCTCCAAATTTTCCCAATATTAGAGAGATTATCCCAACTATTCTTCCTTTCTGCCCATGTATTCTATTATCTGGCAAAACAGTATAATTTAATAGATCATTTAATATATATATAATTTAATATATCTCTTGTCCAGCACCCTTGGGACCTGACCCATCCTGAATGATGGAATTTGCTGGACAAGAGGAGGTCTCCTGCCCTCAACCTCCCCCCACCCACCCCCCACAGCTCGCTCCCTCTCACTGCCATTGCTTTTGCTTCTGGCCCAACCAGCCCCCCCTGAGCTGCTGGCCCTTGGCACCCCTGTTGCTGGCTCTGACCCCAGGGCCTTTTGCCCCCCAGTCTCTCTGCACCATCCCCAGTTCACTTGCCTCCAGGCTTCCAGCCCTAGGTATCTCTGGTCTTGAACCAGAGAGTCCCAGTTTAGGGAGGTACAATCTGTACATCAATTTTCTAAAAGAGCTCTACTGCATTTAGGTTTGCCTTTATTTCAACGACATTTATACAGTTTGTTTTCATGGTGTGATAAAGATGATGTTCAGTGTTTTTATGTAAGCTCCTAAGCCAATCTGTTTACCTGTGACTAAGTTATCTATCTCTATCTTTGATCAGATGTAGTTTCCTGTTAGTGTAATTCTTTGTTAGTGCAACTATTTCACTCTTGCTAAAAACAGATACAATCTGTGATAGCCTGAAGCTTTCCTTGGTACACATTTTTACATGTGCACCCCAAATTCTTTGTAGACCAAGCTCTACTATAGTTTCAGAGAATGAAAAACTGGTTGCCAATCAAACACCGAATAACAGCAGCTGGTCTGCATGGGTAGCCCATTTTTGGACTGGCTCCACCTACCACCCCGCGTTGCTGCCTCTGATACAAAGGCAGCAGCACAGAATGGCAGAGGGCTCCCTGAGAGCTAGCTATGCCCCGGAAAGAATTTTATTAACCATTTAACTGCTAAAAATTGTTGTGGCTATACGATTACTAAAATAACTGATATCTAACATCCCTAGTATTTACTAGCTGAGTTGCTAGAAAGCACAATAGTACATGTACTCCAAGTGTTGTGTTTATTTATTGAATATGAAATCAAATAAAGAAAATGAACACCTTAAAACACTGCTCTTTGTTAATTATTCCTTGTTTGAATATATTGTCTTTCATACCTATAGACAGTTTAAAATACATATTTATACCTAGGTTTTTTGTTTGTACTGAGACACACTGCACATTCACATGCAACCTCAATACAGTATTATTGGTGCACATAAGAAATTTCAACCGACCCAAAAGAAAATTCAACTCGCCCAAGGATGGAAAATGTTAGAGGGAACACTGTCTTCGAAGAAGTATTAATTACCACTTGCCAAAATAGCTAACTCACATGCACCACAAACTGTTTATTCTCAACAGGTTTTTTTCCTTTCTGGATTTCTCAATAACAAGTATTGGTTTTTACCTGAAACAAAAAACAGGACTATGTAGCACTTTCAAGACTAACAAGATGGTTTATTAGGTGATGAGCTTTCGTGGGCCAGACCCACTTCCTCGGATCAAATAGTGGAAGAAAATTGGCACGACCATATATACCAAAGGATACAATCAAAAAAAATGAACACATATCAAAAGGACAAATCAAATTTCAGAACCTGTGATGCAATCAGATATCACAATAATATTTTGTTATTGAACATATACATCCTTTCCCATCATGTGCTCTGAGCTATAGTCCCACAGAGTGTTTACTAAATGCCTATAAATTTCCACACTGTTACTATCACTTTGTGTTTTAGTATATAATTACTTTTAACCTATCTCTTGGAGCACATGATGGGAAAGGATGTATATGTTCAATAACAAAATATTATTGTGATATCTGATTGCATCACAGGTTCTGAAATTTGATTTGTCCTTTTCATATGTGTTCATTTTTTTTTTATTGTATCCTTTGGTATATATGGTCGTGCCAATTTTCTTCCACTATTTGATCCGAGGAAGTGGGTCTGGCCCACGAAAGCTCATCACCTAATAAACCATCTTGTTAGTCTTGAAAGTGCTACATAGTCCTGTTTTTTGTTTCAGGTAAAAACCAATAAGAATCAGGCAGGGGGCATGATGCAAAGGGAAAATCCTATTTTGAAGAATGAAATTTCAACATCTAAATTTCAATTCAGTGCCAGAAGATGTCTTCTCTTGTTTAATGCCTCCTTCATCTAGCTGTTAGAGAAATTCATGGTGAGGCTTTTACAAACCTATTGAGACTAATATTTCATTTCAATAGAGTCACAGGACAAAAGGAAAGAACTCTACTGTGAACAAAATAGCCTTTTTATTTAAAGGGAATACATCTTCTCCTGTAATATTCTAACAATACTTAGTGACATCCTAAAGCAAACCACACAAATTGCAGGATGGTATTCCTTAAACAGAGGAATTCTCATTTCACACATACTTCTAGATCATTTAGATATTCTGCATACTAAATATATATAAATATTCTATACAAGATTTTAAACTGAACTCATCATCACAATACAGTGGTTCTCAAACTTCATTGCACCATGACCCTCCCTTCTGACAACAAAAGTTGCTATCTGACTCCTAAAAGGGTGGCACCAAAGACTGAGCCTGCCTTAGTCCCACTGTCCTGAGCATGGGTGCCAAAGATGAACCCAAAGGCTTCTGTTCTGGGTGAGGGGTATATAACCTTAGTTCTGGATGGGCAGAGGGGCTTGGGCTTCAGACCTGCTGGGACCCAGGGCCAACACCATGCTTGCCAACTACATGAAAATAGGGTCAAAAATCACTCTAGCATCCCAACCCACAGTTTGAAAATATTTGCCATAGTATCTCAGTACAATCCAGTAGTGCAGCCATGGCCAACCCACAGCTCGCGAGCCGCATGCAGCTCTTGCCCCCTAAAAGTGCGGCTTGTGAAGCTGCTCCAGCACTCCCCCCCCTTTCGGCTTCCCTGTGCTTATTGGATGGGAGCTGCGAGGTTTTAAAAATGGCACCCGCAATGGCGGCCGTCTTAAAGGGGCAGCTTTGGGTTTTTAAATTTTTTTAAAAGTTTTTGCTCGACAATTCTGTTCTGGGGGGGCTTTTTTTTGGAGGGGAGGGACTTGACAATTCTGGTGAGGCTCTTCGCATTTCCCCCCCCGCTGTTTTGATTCTCTTTGTTAAATGGTTTGGCCACCCCTGCAGTAGTGTATTAAGCCAGGTGACCACACATCTGCTATGTATTGTTCACTTCCAAGAGGAAGAAGCATGTGTTTTGGTTTTGTAGGTTGCTGTTGTTTTCTTATACATACCTGTAGCTATGCATTTATTTTAGAGAAGACAAGGTCAAAGACTTGCACATTGCATTTGGAATGAAAAGTGGTGAGGTTTGTGATAGTCCTTAGTTACTTTGGGTGTTAATTCCAGAGTCTGTGACAACTCCCAGAGAAGGTCCTGTCTCCAACACGTGAGCTATCTCCTCAAAATACTCCTCAATTCAAATACAAAATACTCCTAAAATATAACAGTTTACCTCTAAACTATTTTAATTCTGCAAAACAACAAACAGAAGGAAATTAAAGAAAAATTCCACTTCAAAAGTATTAATAATAATTGCACTCAAAGGAAATGTTAACATATAATGTATGTTTAAGACAATCTTGTGTAGGCTTTTTAAAAATAAATATGCATAACAAACAATTGATTTTCAGAAAAGAAAAACATATTGCTGAGAACTCAAATTATACTGTATATATATATCTCTTACATACTAAATCTTTCTAAAAGTACCAAGGATATGACAAACAACTCAACTAAAATTCTAAGTTAAGGATGTCTTGGCAGCTTTTCACTCATTGGGCCTATGTATTCTTATATATGAAATATCCAAGCTAAACGTCTATTTCTAGACCTAACAGAATATTCTGCATGCTACTTAAATCACACTATAGTGAGTTCAATAAATAAGATCATCCATAAATAATGTATTTGGTTTGTTTTATTGGTGTAATCTAGCAAAAAAAGTAAAGTCCTAGAAGTAATCTGAGCACTGATAAAAGCCAAATCACTACCTCTCAACATTTGCTCAGCAACTGTGCATATCTTTTACAGTGTGTAGAAAGTATGTGGTTTTCGTAAGGAATGGGTGGATACTGAGCATGGCCAATGCATAAGTGATTAAATGCAATCCAGTGAATGCAAATGGAGCATATAAAGGATAATTTAATTACTCCTACTGTCAACCAGGAGTTGTGCTTAAGAGATGCCTAAAGGTATGAGTGTCAAACACTGAAAAATGTTTTTAAGGTTCCCTTGGCATCTTTAAGATAGCTACTCAATGACTCACTATGTGTTGGTTACACCATTCTTGTAAGCCCAATCAAACAGCAATGCCCAGCACCTACATTTTATGCACCTTAAATGACGGAGAGCGACCAAGTGTGGCACTCAGTAATTTTAATGGTCACTCAGCATTGCCCTCATACAATACACATCCCTGTAGTATTCAGCCCTTAATATTAGGGTTTTTTAAAAAGTAAAGATGCGAACATAGTATCTGATTATAATGATGCATCTGAGAGTTTTCATATCAGTAGTGCCCCATCTACATTCACTTTAATGGGAATTACAATCATTTAAGTATTTACTATGCAAATTTCAATTCAAGCAGATGGGCAAATAATACTTTCCATTTAGTCTACATTCATTTACAGTCTTGCAAAAATTTGAATGGCTTAACATATTCCGTAAGAATGTCACTATGCTAGCGCATTTCAAAAACGCAGTTGTGTGCCACACATTATTAATACAATCACCATTCACGTTCAGTAGTAAAACATACAAAAACCAGATTTCACTGAAGTTCAATTTCGATACTAATCCTCTTCGAGCATGTCTAACACAGCAGGGCTAACACAGGAGGTAGGAGGAACTGCCTTGGCTAGGGGAGGGGCATGGAGCACACCTACACTCCACCAACTACCTCTCCAGGATTGGAAGCCACCATGTGTCAGCATTGTGTCCCCCCACCCCATCCCGGCTTCAATCCCCTTCTAATGGAGTGGGCCCAGGGCCGCTCTGCACATGCCAGAGCAGGGCCAGCTCTTCCCGCACATGCAGCACCTCACCCTGACCAGCTGCTGTTCCACACACTGCATCTGAGGGAAGCTGGTAACCCACCTCCCTACCTTCAGCTAATGCCAGCTCTAGTCCTGAGGAAGCTGGGGGCAGCTGCCCCTGTAGCAGGACTCAAACCTACAATGCCAGGTTCTGGAGGCTGACACCTTAGCCACTCGGCCACTGGAGGACCAACACCAGAATCAGACTTCTTAAGTCTTCCAGTGTATTCTCAAATGTTCTCTGTGACAGACAGCATCACAGATTCCTCTCCTTTTATAATAGTATATATTTTATGCAAAAATGCACATTTATACAAACTTCTATCAATGAGATTTTCAAAAGTACTCAACACTTGGCCTAACTCTGATTCCACTGAAAACAATGATTACATTTCTTTTTATTTCAATGGAAGAAGTTGGGGACTGATTGCCTTTGAAAACCGCATTCAAAATGTATTCCTACAAGGCTTGATATATAGGTATATTTACATAATTTAATACCATCCGGGAAACTTACAGCTTCTAACTTCCTTATGCTATGCTGTATTGTGTAGGGATTGTTTGTGTAGCATTGCTGCAAGAGGGCTTTCTCATCAAGAGCCGATAGATCATGATCGCTCCTATCTTCAGGTTGCGGGTCCTACAAAGAAACACACTGTATTATACTTACAGCATCATGGACAATCAGTTGTAGCAAGCACAAATATTTTTAACAAATATTTGAAACATTTTTACACTTCTCTTGTAACAAACATTTTCTGCAGTTTTACAGAAGTTAACAGTGCTTTAAAAAGAAGATGGATGTAGAGGGTAAATCTATTTCATTTAGAAATGAAAGGGAATAAATATAGACTTTTTTTAAACAGAAAAATTTAGCAGAAGCTGAGTATTTTTTAAACCCGCCAACAATTGGGTTGTACAACTCCTTTAGGTAACCTAATCCAGTGTTCAATCATCCTTACATGCATCTGACGAAGTGGGTCTTTGCCCACGAAAGCTTATGCTCCTACACTTCAGTTAGTCTATAAGGTGCCACAGGACTCCTCGTCGCTTTTGCAGATTCAGACTAACACGGCTACCCCTCTGATACTTATCCTTACAGTTAGAAAAAAAATTCTAACATCTAATCTCATTCTTGCTTGCTATAAACTAAGCTAAGTTACTTCTCCCACTGATGTTGGATGTGAAGAACTGATCACCATCTTCTTTACATATTTGACAATGTATGTTCCCCCCTCAGCCTTCTCTTCTTTAAACTAAAAGTGTACTTTTTTTCAATCGTTCCTCATACATTATGTTTTTCAAACCTCTTATCAATTTTGTTGCTCTCCTCTAAACTCTCTCCAGTTTGTTCACGTCTCTCTTAACCTGTGTGCCCAAATCTGAACACAGTACTCCAGCTGAGGCTTTATTAGTACAGAGTAGAGAGGAACAATTATCTTCCATATCTTATATAAGACCCTCTTGTTTAATATATGCCACATTTGTCTGTTTTGTCATAGTATTAAACTGACTCATTCAGTTTGTGATCCACTATAACCCTCAAATCCTTTTATCTATTACTTGTGCCTGACCAGCTATTTCACATATTGTATTTCACAGAAACACAGAAACGTAGGGCTAGAAGGGATTCAGAGAGAATGAACAGTCCATCCCATTGTGCTGAAGCAGGAACAACTATATCCATATTCCTGAGATGATTTTGTCCATCCTGTTCTTAAAAACCTCTAAAGATGAGATTTTACAAGTTTCCTTGGAAAACTATTCCAAAGCTTAATTATCCCTTATATTCAACCTAAACCTCCTTTGCTGTAGTTTAAGAGATTATTACTGCTTGTTCTACCTTCTGTGGACATAAGAACAATTGATCTCTGTCCTCTTTATAGCATCCCTTAACATATTTTAAGGTTGTTACCAGAGCCCTTGTCAGTCTTCTTTTCTCAAGACTAAGTATATCCACTTGTTTTAACCCTTTTTTATCAGTCAAGTTTTCTAACCCTTTTATCATGTTTCTTGCCTTCTTTAAGACCCTCTCCAATTTGTCCACATCTTTCTTAATGTGTGGCATCCAGAACTGGACACAATACTTCAGCTGAGGCCTCACCAGAGATGAGTAGAACAGAACAATTACCTCCCATATCTTACAAACAACAATCCTGTAGACCAGGGGTTCTCAAACTTTGTGATCCCGCGACCCCCCTCTAAGTTGCTCGCGACCCCCCGGGGGGGTTGGGACCCACAGTTTGAGAAACAATGTTGTAGACTATTACTGTAGGATATTAGCCTTTTAGCAACTGCACCATGGTGTTGGCTCATATTCAATTAGTAATCTACTACAACTACCAGACCCTTCTCTACAACGCCTTGCCAATTATTATACATTTTGCATTTGATTTTTCCTTCTTAAGGGTAGTACTCTGCACTTGTCTTTATTGAATTTATCATCTTGATTTCAGATCAATCCTCCAATATATCGAGATCATTCTGAATTCTAACCCTGTCTTCCAAAGTGCATGCAATCCTTCCCATGTTGGAGGCATCCACAAATTTTATAAGTACACCTTCTGATCTAAGTCATGATGTACAATTTTGAATAGTACCTAGTACTGGATTAACTCCTGGAGGATTTGATATGCCATCTCAATTTCACAGTGAACCACTGATAACTCATCTTCTAGTACAGTTTACCAGTTATGCAACCACCTTACAGTAATTTCAGCTAGACCAGATTTCCCTATTTATTTATGACCTTCTCATAAGTGAGACAGTGTCAAAAGTCCAGAGATACCACATGTACTGCTTTCTCCCTCCATTAGGCCAGTAACCTTGTCAAATAAGGAAATTAGAGTGGTTTGACATGATTTGTTCGTTGGCTATTACTTATCACCTTACAATCCCTCAGGTTTCAACAACTTGATCGTTTAATCATTTGTTCCATTACCTTTCCCGGTTGACAGATCATAAGTCACCAGGACTTCTTTTTTTCCTCCCCATTTTTTGAAGATAGGTGTTGCCCATCACCAGTTCTCTGGGACCTCAATCGTTCTCCATGGCTGTTGCTGACAACCACTAACAGTTCAGAGATTGTTTTACTAGCTCAAGAATTCCACAGTGAATTTCATCAAGCTCTGCCAGCTTGAATACATCTAGCTTATTTAAGTATTTTTTCAACCCATTCTTCTCCTATTCTGACCAGAAGTACTGCTCCATTGTTAATATTAACTATGTTAAACATCTGGTTACAATTATTCTTTTTAGTGAAGACCAAAGAAAAAAAAGTAAACTCTTGAGAATAAAATGAGGATATTAAAAATAGCATACCCTAATGTTTTCTTTTTTTAAGTTTAACTCATCTTATGTTTAGAAATATCTTTTGAGTGGACTCAAAAGCAACTCCACCAGACATATTCAACTACAGTAAACTTTCGATAAACCAACACTTTTAGGACCCAGGGGGTACCGGATTATCAGATATGACGGACTATCAGAAGGGGGGGCTATGAGGGGTCTGGGATGGGGGGGGGGGGGGGAAATAGGAGGGGGTGTACTTAAACTCTGGTAAGTACATTTGCAAATTTTATTTGAAGTGGACAGTGTACTTTTATGACAAGCAATAGACAGAGTAGCTATTTCTAACTATCCTCCCTCCATAACTTTTTTTCTTTCCAGTCTATTAATATTCAGCAGTTAAAACTATTCATCTCTGTCATTTCAAGCATGTCGCTGCTTATTAGTTCATTCATTGGCTTCCTCTCTCTTTCCATAGTATTCAACATTTGATCAAGGCTTCATCCAGTTTCTCTGTCTTCAATGGCCATCCCCTTCCTCACATCCCTTGCTCACCTACTCCCATATTCAAGTATTTTTTCATGCTTCTCCTCACAGCTGGAATGATAACTCTTCAGGTATACTGAGCATCATCATCCTCGCTTCTTTTTTACAAAAAGTAACTTGTTAATATTATTTTCCATTGCTGACGTCCAATTGTCTTCTCTCATCTTTTACACCATCTCAATCTGATTTTTTTAAAATAGCATAATGTATAAGATTCAATAATGATATAAAGCAATTATTATTTATTGTTTGTATTGTGGTAGCAGCAAGAAATCCCAATCAGAGTTTGGAACCCTCTAGTACCGTGGTCACCAATTGGTTGATCGTGATCGGTGCTTCTACGGGCTGATTGCCGTGGCCAGCCAAGCAGGAGCGCTGTGCAGCCTCGGCAGGCTGAAAGCTGTGGCCCACAAAGCTGTGCCGCACTCCAGCTGGGCTGGATCAAAGAGGCAAGCTGCCCCTGCAGTTGCCCCTCTTTGTTAACTTGATGGCTGGGATGGGGAAAAAGGCACGCATGATTTTGCACATGCGCATCCCTGCTCTTGCCTCCTGCTTCAGGAGGGGGCTGAGTGGTGGGCACACGTGGCGTGCTGGGAACAGGGCTACACCGCGCTGTTCCTCACGGGCTGTGTACAGGGTCAGAGAACCACCTTCTCCAGCACCAGCCTTGGGCGGCCCTGGGCGCTGCCTGCATTCAAAGGGCTGAGCCAGGCAAGGAAGAGACTCTAACCCCTCCAACCTTTCGCCCTAGTGCTGCTCCCCAGAGGCTGCGAGTCCCAGTGCTATTGTCCTGCCAATGAGTGCGCTGGGGACACAGGGATTGCATTGAGGGGCAAGGGGCAATGCAGGGGATCAGGCTGGGGGGAATCATGGGGTTGAGGCGAGTGAGACTGGAGCAGAGGGAAGATTTGAGGGGTATACAATTTTACTTTGCAGAAGGTGCACTTTCCTTTACTCTCTACTTCTTTGCCTCCTTCCACAACTAGCTATTTGGCTGCATTTTCAGCCTTTCGCCTTTTCTGCATTATTGCCCCAACCCCCTCCAGCCCCACCACATACCCTCTCCTGCTGCTAAACTCCCTTTCCAGACCCTGCACCCCATCTCCCACTCAGATCCTGCATCCATATCTCATTCACTGGCAGCCCTGTTCTGCACATTGAGTCCCCATTTTTGTTCCCACCCCAGAGCCTAAGGAGGTCCATAAAATCCACTAATTCTGGAATTCCAGAAGAGTAAATCTGGCCTATGGGAAGCCCTGAAGTTCAGTCCTCCCTGCCCCTTCCCTTCACACTGTAGGAGCTGGAGCACCAGAAGAGTGAGGTGCCTCAGTTGGGGGCCATATCAGAGAGGGTTGGGGGTTTGGGGAGTTTTTTTGCTTCTCACTTGTGTGGTCCCCAACTGATTTTTTTGTTGGTCAGTGGCTCCCAACCCAAGAAAGGTTCCCCACTCCTGCCATAAATAAAGAAAACATTCCAACCTTTAGTGTTGGACATAATGTTTTACTTTATTTAAAATGAAGTTTGATCAACTAACATGACAGTTAAATCGCTTAATCTGTTTAATTATTTAAATTAAACCATTCTCCCCAGATGCAGCAGTAGCAAAATGGCTTGGGTGTAATTACATAATTAACAGTGAGTTTCCATTCGCAATGGGTAGTCCACAGAAAGGTTTGGAAAGGGCAGAGCCTCGAGAAAAGGATGCGGTCTTGGGGCAGGAAAGGGATAGATCCTGGCTTGCCCTGACATTTAAGAAGTAATCTTGGGTGTAAAAAGGTTGGAGACCCCTGCTCTAGTACTAAACACCATACATACATGGAATAAGCTATTCATGCTCCCAAAGTACTTACAGCTAAATAGCTCACATTATCTTTATTTATTTTAACTCCTTTCCCTCTGCCCCCCCCCCCATCTCTTTTTCTGTTAGCTGCATTTTCTGTTTGTCTGTAAGTTCTATAGGGCAGTGGCAATACTTTTTCTGTTCTTTGTAAACTGTGTAGTTATGGCATTTAAATTAAAAGGACTTAAATCACTTCAGCATTCTAAAACAGCATTTTTACCATCACTCTTCCTCTTTTGGAGTCACCAATTATGCATTTTCCTTCTAATAAAAGGGCAAACAATAAATCTTATCTAAAGCTCATCTGGCTAGGCAAAGTGCTTTCTTGTTTATACTTGTTCTCCAAAAGGAGACTTAGGCTTCTAATGTTCATAAGAGGAAAGGCCTCAAATAGACTTTCTCTGATTTGATGCCTATTCAACATAAGAGATGCTTGGATACCATGAGGATGAGCATCAAAGTACATCCACAAATTTTAATGTTACCTCTTTTTCTGCTGTTTTTCTTGACGATTCCTGAAACTGGGCACTGTTTATTTTATTTTCTACAGTTCTCTGAGAATACTGCTTATATCCCTCTTTCATTTCTGCTTCATATTGTTGATATTTTAATTTGTATTTGTCTGTGGGGGGTGGCAGATTTTCTGGTATTGTCTTTTGCTCCAACAAAGAAAGCTAAAAAGCAAAGAATAATCAGAAATAACAACCTCCTGCTGATATACGTCAACACAAAGATTCTTGTACTCATCTATTTTTATCATTAAAGCACTGATGTTTCTTGACACCATACTTAAAATTTAGAAGAACGTAAATACTGTTGTATAACAATTTTAGATTGTTCTCATGAAAATCTTCTTGTGTTGCTTAGAGCTAATTACTTTTCTGTGAATAAAGTGACACTGAACCATATCCAGAAACCAAAGTCCACTAGTCATCTCTTGCCAGCCTTTACAGATGCAGAGGACTGTAGGATTGGAGCAACAGCATGAACCCATATTTGGTTTGAAATACTGAATGAAGGGACCAAATGTTATCCAGATCAGAGTTTGAAGTGGTACTGAACAGTCACTGGAGGCTACTCCCTCACCTTCCCCTATACAGTGTCTGTATAGTTACATCAGTTGGGGTGTGGTGGTTTTTTTTCCTCTCCCAATGCAGCTATGCCAATATGTCTGTCTAGTGCAGACCAAAGCCCTGTTCTAGAACAGTGTATCTCACATTGTGAAACTAGGCTCTACTGGAAGATGTGAATCTCTTTCAAGAAAAGCATAGACAAGCCTATAAAAATGCAAGAGTAAGGAATTATTTCCCCCTCAATGTTTTTCTGAGTATTCTATTGATAGGACATGGGACATGCCACCATAGAACTACTCCCTACATCAATGGAATTGGTTTTTCTGTCGCTGCAGTTAAATCTATAACTCCAGGAGGCGATAGCTATGTCGGAAAACAAATTCTACCAGTGACCCAGCCACATCTAAATTGGGAAGTAGGTCAAACTAACTAGCACATTCAAGAGCATGAATTTTTCACAGCACACAGTGACATAGCCAGATCAATTTCACTGTAGACCAGGAGTAACAGTAAAATTGAGTAGGAAATGACCAAGAAATAAAGAAAAATCTATATTTAAATTAGTTTATCACCTTGTCTTTTAATTGAGTTTCCTACAGGAGGAAAATGTGTTTTTTAAATTTTTCTGGGAAAATATTCCTACAATCAGCCATTTAAAGCAAGCAATGCAGAAATCATGGGCACACTCAAAAATATATTAAAATATATCAGTGGCACTTAACTACCTTTTCTCTTCAAGGCACATTCAGATGGAATAGAAACAAAGAAAAAAATGAGATCTATTCTACTTAGGTTTTTATAAACACATTCGTCACTGTAGTCTCCATGAAAGAATGAAGAGGATAAAGAGCAAGAGGGAAGGTAAAAGAAAGTAAAAAAGAAGAGGAAAAGAGACTGGAATGTAGACAAAGCTATTTCAAGTTTTTGGTAACATTAAAGTAGTAAAATAGATTTGTGTTATCTGAGAATCAATTTGAAAAATGCCATCTAGCAAAAAGATAAATGTATATAGCAACATTCTTCTAAGAACACAGCAATTTATATAGATTCTAACCTGACCACATGCACGTTACGTGAGAGAATGATAAAGATACAAAGAATGTGAGATAACACACACACACATATACAGATTTAGTTCACACTACAAACTTTTACTGATATAGCTAAGTTGGCCAGGATTTGAAGTAGAGGGGGCAAATCACATCTACTAACTGACATAACTATGACATCAAAATCTGTTGTAAATGTCAAAATGTCAAAGAATTAGTGCTTCTGTCAACTTAGCTATTGTCAAACAGGGAACTGATTTAGTTATGCCAGTAGAACTCGTTCTGTCAGCTAATCCTGTATGCCCACCAGGAGGCTCTGCTAACATAACTATGCATGCAAAAAATGTTTAGTATAGACAAGCTGAGAGACAGAGAGAGAATGTGATTTGCAGTGTCCTAAAACTGTCCTAACTGGTGGTCATTTCATATAGTATAAGTTAATCAATGTGAGTTGCTGCATTATTAACAATTGCTGAGAAATTATAAAAGGCTTTACATTGTTCCAAACAAGGTTCCAGTCTACACTCGCAGCAAAATAATGCTTTCTAAGTATCCAGTCCTATAAGCCACTTACTACTCATGCAAGTGTCCCATCTGACTTCAGTGGATTATTTGCTTAAGGACTGCATAGATGTTCTCATGACCAGACCTTCAGATAGTCAGACTGCTCTTATGGACACATTTTTTGTATTAATTGTTCTTGGGTTTAAAGAAAAATAAACATTTTTAAAGAAATACCAAAGGATGTCTAATTTTCCACCAGGACATACAAAGAGGATGACTTCCACACCAAAACAACAGAAATATAATGTAATTTACTAAAATTTGGCATATACCTCTCACCCTTACCTCAGAAAATAATCCTGTAGATTTTTTACAGGTCTTGAATTTGTCTGAAGCTTAGAAATCCACTTCTTAAACATATATTGACCTCAGAAGGTTGGCCTTTACAACCCCAGAACTTTCCCCACACCCCACTTCTAATAAAAAAAAATCTGATAGTTTCAAAATTCAAATGATAGCTTTATATAATGACATAAGATTAAAAGCATGGCATGATTTCATCATCATACAAAAAGGTTAAAACCTGTGATACATGATCTGAAAATTGAACAATCCTCTGCTATTCAATTGTTAGGGTGCATTTTCCAGCTATTTACCTCCATTTTCTTCTGACAAGATTTTCTAGTCATCTGTTTAATAGAAAGGAAAAAGAAATGTTATTTTAAATAGCAATTACCACCACCTTGCTGCATGAATCAAATGAAAATCTGTCAAATATATTTTCCCAAAGTTAAACAAAACAGAAAAATGCAAAGGATACCTCTTCTCACTATCAAGTAACAATGACTGAAAAATGCTCAGCACAGCAATTATCAAAATGTGTTAATTTCAGCAATTTGGATTTTTGAACATCTCTATAATTTTCCAGAAAGCAGCATGAAAAACTGAGTAACAGATTTTCCTTTTATGATAACTACTTGTAGCCATTAATTTCTTTAAAAACTTTAGATTCTTACTCAGTACCTAAAGAGAAGAATACTGATGTTCTATCTGGATTTATTTAAATATATATATTAATGTATGTTGTCAGTCAAACAAGATATTATTCTGAAATTAACTCAATTATATTTGAAAGACAAAGAAAGAAAAATGTGAAGAATAAAGTTTCTTCACTCTAATTCAATAATTTATGAGTGGTCAAGATCAACTCAATCGTCCACACAATAAATATTTTTTTATTTGTAAACAGAAGTTATTTTTCATAACTTATGTTTAAAAACTATTTCTTATTATGGTTAATTATTTTAATGTTTTCTGATTTACACAATTTTTGTAGGATTTGTTTAGAAGTAGAAATCACAATTTTCAGATGCTTTCAAAATTGTTAGAAACAATCTAACCACTAATGTACAAATTGTTAGTAAGAAAAATTAAAAGAACTAAGAGTATAAATCAACAGTCTACAATAAATGGTTACTGTGATGAAGAAAGTTTGAAATTTCTGAAGAGCTTCGTAGCAAAAAACCCTTGATCAGAAAGCACTTTGACTAATAATACTCTCCTATTTTTTAATTTAATTACACAAATGGAAAGATCTAAAGTGTGTCATAAAATTAGATGTACTTTATTTGCTTCAACTCTCATAAAACACAGTATTAAGATATTAGCAATGACAAATTGACCTGTTGTGTCTGATAATGCTGTGCATAAGGCGTCTGTAATGGTGTACCCCAACTAACAGTTGAAGAGGAATCTGGAGGGCCAATGCGAGGATACCTCTTACTGAATGGTATGTAAGAATTTCCATCCTAAAACACAAAAGAGAAGAGGGTTATTAGAATGTTTTGGCAAATTTCTGCAAACTTTTCAGATAAAACTAACTCACGATTACCTCCTCATCTGAAGATCCCAGCTTGCCTAAATCAAGGCATGGCACCCTGCAGAAAATTAAAATATGGGTTTAGTAATGCTTCAACACATGCTCTTGTTTTCAGCTGAAGTACAAAAGGGAACCTTCAGCTATTAAAGTGTTTTCCCTTTCACAAAAATACCTTCACTATAAACAATTGCACTATAATTGGAGAGGGCCTACCTGACAAAAGTCTCTACCAATCCCTTCACTTCACCTTGGGAAGTGGCAACTGAGTCTCTTCATCCTCAGTTGCAGAGAACACTGGCAGCTGTGAAGGGCCCCTGGATGGCTCTATCTTCACTTCCAGCCTCAGCTAGTTCTAGCTAGACCATTCTGGCTCCTTTTCTTTTCACTCCCCAGTAGGAGCAGCTGCAGCAAGATCAGAAGCCAGGGATTTATCATTTCCCATCATTACTACTGTAGCAAATTCTCTCCCCTCCATAATTAGCCAGAGGAGAAGCAATGGGGAAGTAAAAAGTGATCCTTTTTTAATATAGTTCTTCAAAACTAACTGAAGGGATTTAGCACAAGGGATTTAGTGGAACGTTACTATACTCCAACTAAATAACAATAGTGACTCCTCATTCAGTTTAAAGAAATCAGAAAGTCCATTAAAATACATTAAAGCAATCCTATACTTTTACTTCATTTTAGACACAATCCTCTTAGGTGGTGAGTATCTTTACCACCCTCTAAAGCAGCATTTCCCAAACTATGGGCTGTTACCAGGCCACGGGAAAAAAATACCGGGCCTCAGCGTGGCTGTCAGGGTGTTCCAGGCTTCCGGACTGCCCGTGCAGTGCCAGGTTCCCCAAGCCCTCAGCCAGGCTGGGCAGATGCAGCCACATGTTTCAGGCTCCGGGCAGAGGCATAGTGAGGGTTACCAGGTGAGCTCTTATTGCTGGCTGTGGAGGGGGGAGGAGGAGTTGGATATGGGCTGCAGGGAAGCAGGGTCAGGGCAGTGGAGCTGCCCGGGGGCGATAGGGAGGGGAACTGGCCGGCGGAAGCAGGGCTGGCCGGGGGGTTGGAACTGGCTGGCAGAAACAGGGCTGGCTGGGGGGAGCAGGAGCAGTGGGGCTGGCCAGGGGATATCGGGAGGAGAAGCTGGGTGTGGGGGCAAATCAGACGGTGGGAAGTGGGACTGACCGGGGCACACAAGTGACTCCGGCCCCGGAGATTCCATTTTGCCCCCCATACTCCCCCATACGCTTCCTTGAGTAGTTGTGAACTGCTTGGCTGGTAGACACACTCACCCAGCATGAGCACATCTACCAGCTAGGCAGTTTGCAGCTACAGACTGATATTCCTAATAATAATAAAACTTACCTAATTAGAAAATACCGGACATTTTATATGTCCGGTATTTTCTCAATTTGTTTCCCGGACAGAACCCTCAAATAAAACTGGACACCTGGCAACCCTACCCCTCCTTGCACCCTCCGTCCTAGCCAGATACCCAACCCTCAATCTGCTCCTGCTCCCGGCTCCTGGAGTGCCCATTCGGCGCCAGGTCCCCCAAGCCCTGGCCCAGGCTGGGTGGAGGATGCAGCCAGGTGAAACACTGAAAATTTGAGAGAATCGGCCAGCGGGGAGGGGGACAGTTCAGGGCGCACCCAAATCCTGAATAAAAATTTAAAAGCAGTGTCTTTTAAATATCCCCACTGCTGACAGTGAGGTTTAAAGGCACTACAGTGTGTCAGAATGGAGAGACCCTGGTGCATTCACCATCAGGAACGAGAATATGGATAAAAAATTCCAAAGATGGTGTCAGCTTTCTGAAAATAAATGAGCCCCTTTTCAATACACGATGTGGTGGTGCAGGGTTTTATTGGATTACAGTCCATTTTTCCAATCCATATTCCCTTAACTTGCTGGTAATAATGTTGTGGGTGGCCATATCAAAAGCTTTGCTAAAGCTGGCTCTGGGGGCTTTGGGAGGACCAAAACCAATATATTTGCATATTTGTCATTTGCTTAATGAATATGCAAATATGCAAATGAATGTTACTGGTCCTCCGAAAGCTCGCAAATGGATTTACTGGTCCCCGTGTCAAAAAGTTTGGGAACCCCTGCTCTAAAGTATGTCTATGCTGCACACTCTTTACAGTGGCCTGTATTTCCTTCTGGAGATGAAGATTCTCAGCATTAATGAAAGTGCATTCAGGGTCTTACTAGATTATGCCCTTTGGGTTCAATCCAATGCCCACTAACTTTCTAGGGGAGGCAGATCAAACCATAAGGCTTTGTCTATATTGCACAACACTAGTGGTTGCATACAGAGTATGGATAGCTACATGCCACAGAAAAAAGTAAAACGTGTTCATACTACAGTCCATAGCCACATGCATCAGTGAAAGTCTTTGGCACTGGGGATGCAGAGAGGAAAGGCTCCCTCTGCTTCCCCCAGCCAGAGCCTTTCCCCACAGCTCTCTGAGGAAAGGAAAGACTGGTAGTGTAGAGGCAGCAAGACATTGTCAAAAACAAGCAGGGAGTGGTGCCATGTTCTGAGTTGCGTAAAGTACATCTTATAAGGGTTCACAGGTATTTTTACTAAACTAAGCAGTCCCTCACCACATGCACTGGTATTTGCACTAGGGGTATAAGCAAGGAGTCAACTAGTTGGCTACTCAATAAGCAAAAGGTTATTAGGTAGCAGACTGGAGTATTAACTTCTCACTTCCCTCCTCCCCTTGCTGCGTCTATGAGAGGCAGGGGGAGGGAACAGGAGTCGGTGCTGGGGGGAGTTGGCTTAAAAGCTGGTTCCTCCAACACCATCTCCACGGTGCCGCCTGCCCCGCCTGCTGTCTCTATCAAAGGCAACAGGGGGGAGATAGGGGAGGCCGTTGAAAAGCAGCCTCTACCCACAGCAAGGCCAGGCTTTGCAAAGGGCGGAGGCGG